GATGTATGAAGTTAGGTTTTACTTAGTGCCTCAAAAGTGCCTGTAGTATCCTAATTTTGCACATTTTCAACTAGATGTACATACCTTCATTTTGTTCTTTATCGTTAAAAGTTCTATTGCACATCAATTCAACCATTTGTCTATCTCTTGGTGTTAACCCTTCATAAAAATATGAAACCAATTTTTATATTTCAAAACCATGATGAGGGCAAGTATTAAGTAAGTATTGATACCTACCCTAACATTGGTAAAATGTTTCTCCTGATTTTTTAGTGAAAATGGTGATTTGTCTTTTGAAAGAGTTTGTTCTATGAGAAGGGAAAAACTTCTTTAAAAAGTATTGTTGCATTTCATCCCAAGCATGAATGGATTCTGGTCTCAAATTTTATGGCCATGTTTTAGCTTTATCTTTTAATGAAAAAGGAAAAACCTTTAATCTAATGGTGTTCATGCTACAATTTGAGTCATTATAGGTGTTACATACCTTCTCAAATTCCTTTAAATACAGGTATGGATTTTCTAAATCTAAGCCATGAAAAGAAGTAAAAGTTGAACAATGTCTGACTTAAAATTAAAATAAGATACATTAGGAGGGAAAACTATGCATAATTCTGCACTTGTTCTTGTGGGATTCATGTGGTTTCTAAGTGTTCTAACACGGTTATTCTGAATATTCTCATTATGAAGCGATTAGTTATCTTCTTCGACCATATTTTCTAAAAATAATGAGGATACACTGCAAACTTTACCACTTAATGTACGTGACCATATTCTCATACACATGTAGGAATAGAATAAAAGGAAAAAGAAAACAAAAGAAGAAGAAACAAAACAAAAGAAATAAAGTTAGATACAAGAAAAGTGAAAAGTAAAAATAAAATAAATACTATAATTTGTACAAGAATTTACCTCCCCAGCAATAGCACAAAAAACTTGACATAACCAAAAGATTGATGTCTTCTCCCAAGTGTAGGAGTGTCAAAGTAATAAATAACCTAGTAAGACCGGGGTCGAACCACAAGGAGGTTAATTATATAAATTATAAACAATAATAATACAACAACAACAACAATAGTAATAGTAATAGTAATAGTAATAATAGTAGTAGTAGTAGTAGTAGAAGAAGAAGAAGAAGAAGAAGTTGATAAGAACTTTGAGATGGAAAATCAATGTGAGGATTAAACAATGATAACAAAAAATATCAAGGTTAGAGAATCCACTAATGGTATTTCAAATAGGTATAGTATAAGCTCTTATTATTCAATTGAAAACCACACACAAAGGAGGTTCCAATCGGATCATAAATTGTTAACATGATTACATTAGTTATCTTATCGAATAATGCTAATACTTGTAAATGTTGTCAGACATTCATGATTATAACTTATGTTAACAACAAATCAAGTTCCTTTCATAACACAGGTATAGGTTATACCATATAGTTGGGCTGCGAAAGTGTTAAATATTTGTTGTTCCAAGTGTTATACAACATAAATCTATATTAACCACTTAACAAGAAAAGTATTAAGAGTGAACAAGATAACAAATGCAAAACATATTAGTATCAAACATTAAATTTCATGTTGAGTTTATACTATACTTATTCTTACACCATTAGTATAACATTTTCACCTTGACATAATAAACTTAGCTAAACATAATGAAAGTGAAAAACATAAATAAAAAAGATAAAAAATATAAATAAAATAAAAGTTAACTAAATAAAAGAAAGGAAATGAAAGGCATAAACAAGATATTAATGAAAGACAAACTTAAGCATTACAAAAATACAAAAAGAGAAAGCAAGAATATGATCTTGATCTAGAAACCAAGATGCCTAAATGCATAGCAAATGCCTTCATTTATCGGTCAAAATTGGAAACTATTGATTTGATGACTAATTGATGAGTGAGTGGTCAACTTTTGACTTGGTGATAATTCTTATCTTCTCTTGTCTGAATAAAAAGTCATTAATAATGTTAGAATTTGAACTAGACCTCTATATGAAAGAGAGAAACATAAATAAGCAAGATAAGAACATAAATAAGATAAAAGTTAACTAAGTAAAGGAAAGGAATTGAAAGACATAAATAAGATATTAATGAAAGAAAAATTTAAGCATTACAAAAACACAAAGAGAGAAAACAAGAGCATGATCTTGATCTAGAAATCAAGATGCCTAAATGCATTGTAAATACCTCCTTTCATAGGCTAAAATTGAGAACTATTGATTTGATGACTAATTGTTGAGTGGGTGACCAACTTTTGACTTGGTGACAATTCTTATCTTCTTGTCTAAACAAAACATCATTGATAACGTCAGAATTTGAACCAACTTTACTATGAAAATTCTAGGAAATTGTCTCAGCTTTCCAGGAAAAGAAATTGAGGTCATTTAGGCTTCTAAAACTCGAGGTATAGGCTGAACCCTGAACATTGTCTAGACTGCAGGACAGATTTGAACTTCTACGTTATTGCTAAGATTTGGATTTTCAAACAGCAAAATTGAGTCTTACCTTTCTATGAAAGTTTTAGGCCTATGTCTTAGCTTTCTATCTATATAAAGCAGATCTAAATCCAAGTTCTACAGCTTTAGTTATGATCCAATTACCGAATAGTGTTATAGTTTGGACTAAACAACATCTCTTTTCTAAACTTCACCCTCTCTTTGTCCTTTCAATTTCAATATTTCAACTCATCAATCAATCCTTTCATTTATATGATAAACCTGCATTTAGGATAAACATTTACTATAAATTAAAGGTATCTTATGGTATCAAACTTGTTATTGTAAAACATACTTTAGTTGAGGAGTTATTAATACTTCAAATGCAAAATAATAAAACAAAACCTTGATAAAAATGAACTTTTAATTACTAATCAAAAGCATACCCAAATCCAAGTTCTATAGCTTTAGTTATGATCGAATTACCAAACAATTTTCCAATTTGGACTAAACCAGCATCTCTTTTCTAAACTTGGCCCTTTCTTTGTCTTCTCAATTTCAGTAGTTGAACTCATCAATTAGTCTTTTGATTTATGTGATAAGCCTGCATTTAAAATGAACATTTACTATAAATTAAAAGTATCCTATAGTACCGGACTTGTTATTATAAAACATGATTTAGTTAAGGAGCTATTGATACTTTAAGTGCAAAATATTAATATAAAATCTTGATAAAAAAACACTTTTAAATACTAATCACCAATGCTGGCCCATTTTCATCTTTTGGACCGGTGCTAGCCTATTTTTTTATGTTGGCCCAGTGTTGGCCCATTTTATTTTCTTTATGTTGGGCCATACTGGCCCATGCCAATTAAATCATTGTAAAAATACAAATTTGGTATTAAAATACCTGGTTTTTGACAACTTAAAAAATGAAAAAAATATTTTTGTGCATACGGCTAAGTGTCTCAAAGCTAAAAAAATCATATTATTTTTTTCATACACCAAAAATTAATATTTCAACATGTATTTTGGCTTTAATAACAAGTTTGTTAAAGTCAAGAGAACATTAGTCAAAATTTCAAAAATAACAAAAAATTTATTTTGTTTGTCTTTTAGTATCTGGAGTACGACATTACATGTAATATGTATTTCGGATATTAAATTCTTTTTTTTTTAAATGCTAGAATGGTTAGGTTTTACCCTATTAAGATAAGAATCTACTTATTGAGGAGGGCTTTTCTTGAATTTTAGACAAACATGACCAATAATTAAAAAATACCAAAAAAACTGTCGATTTTATTAGATAACAAAACAATGCAGCTTACCTTTGGTAAGGTGTATTTAGGGTGCTAATACCTTTCCTTTACACAACTAGTCTTTATACCTCATCTCTAAGACAGGTTAGGGTTGATAGTAACCAAAATACTAGGTGGCGACTCTCATTCTATATTTTACTAATAAGAGATAAGAATTCTTTGTCTCTCCATATTTGCCATATAGACCTTTACAATTTTCATAAGTGGTGGACAATCATTGTGACGCCGCACACGTGTAAAAGTACTTAATAGTTGTGGAGCATAGAGGAAAATAAGAGAGGAGAGACATAGAGAGCAAAAGGCGAACAACTGATTTTGTCCTAGAGAATACTGATTTAGGTTTAAGGTTAGAAAAAAAAAATCATATTTATACATTTTTCTTTTCAAGTGCTGGTCTAGTTGAACCGATTCGGTTTTGTTCAATCAGTTTCAGACATTGAAAACCGAAACCGAACTTAACTGAAACTTTTTTGTGATTTTTAATTGATTAATTTGGTTTTTTTCTCGGTTTAATTTTTTATTGTTTAATAGGTTATTTAGGTTTTTTGCTCATTATTAGCAAATATGAGTATTATGTTTATATTAAGATATGTATATATTACACTGAATTAAAAAAAATACAAATAATATATTTGTATAACACAACTATATATCTTGTGTTACGTTTAAGTGGGGTTTGATAAAATTCAAATCCTATCTATTACCTATTGAATAAAATAATTATATAAAAAAACTCACTTATTTAAGCATATTAAATCGTTCCAATAAAATTATCATCCCTAAAGAAATCTTAAGATTTTATCCTTGATATTTCTTTGTCATGTTATATATTCTTCAGCGGCCACTTGCCTGTGCAAACACTCTTTAATAACAAAAAAAAAATGTGAGAAAAAAAGGTTTGCTTGAGAGGGTAGCTTTATGTTCTGTTTGTTTCTCATATGCAACCTTGGTTTTAATTGATTTATATTTTTCCAAGGTTTTAATCTATGAAAACTGCATTTAGCTATAGTAAAGCATCCGTCTTGTTCAAGGGTGCCATGACAAAGAGTGAATTATCTATTAATTTGATAGTATATTCGACTTGGGAATTTGAGTTGTCCATCCCCATCCCCAGGGGAGAGAGAGATTTATAAAGTTTTGCAACTATTGTTTCATATTGTTTGAAAATTGAAAGAAAAAAAAACAGGCATGGTCTAGAAGAAAGTGCATTGTTCGAAATGGAAAAGGAAGATCTTAAAGAAAAGAATATGGGCTCTATATTAAAATAATAAACCAATGTTTTTTTGTTCACCAGAGCTTGGAGACAACATGGGCAATTAACTCATACAAGTCACCCTGTGATCCGGTTCTTCACAAATTCATAGACCTTGCCAAAAGGTTCTGTGTTCTTCTCCAAAATCCCACACCATTGATTCCCCTGAAGTAGTACAGCATCTTATAAAGACAATTCAACCCCTAAAGATGCCAGAGGGATCAACATTTTGAACAATCCAGGGATGCTCAAGTAGCTTATGTAACGGTAGTCGCTCAACAGAATCCTTGACAAGCATCTATTGATCAAAGAGAAAAAAATAGAGAAAAAAAAGAGAGAGAACAGTCACAAGCACGCTAGACGCAAGTGCATTTACTCTAAAACAGTTTCCTCCCAAAAGTGATAGCATAATATTATTTCCTGCACAGTTGATTAATTCTACTAGCAAGGTCTAATTAAGTAGTTGCACCCAACATGAACTGCTACTATATATTTTACATGAGATTTTCGTTTTCTACATGTTATGACAGTTTTCAATTCTGCATACACATCATTTACTCTCAACAGTTTCCTCCCAAAAGCGGTAACATGATATTATTTCCTGCACAATTGATTAATTCTACTAGCAAGGTGTAATTACGTAGTTGCACTTAACATGAACTATTAACTATATATTTTTCATGTAACTTTCGCTTTCTGCATATATATCATCATAGTTTTCAATTCAGCAATCCACCCTTGTTTCCTCCAACCTTGTCTCCTATTTCTTTTGGGTTATCAAAGTTCTAATATTGAAATGCCAATTAAGTTTTATTATGGAAGATGCAACGCGCATTTTCGCTTTCTGGATATATATTACAGTTTTCAACTTCGCAATCCACCCCTTGTTTCCACCAACCCCATCTCCTATTTCTTTTGGGTTATCTAAGTTCTAAAGTTGAAATGCCAAGCAAGTTCTACTATGGAAGATGCAACAACCAAATGATTTTTCACCTGACTAATAAGGTCCTTTGCAGCAGAAGAGACAATTGGTTTAGGAGGGAACTTCAGATCCACTTGCACAATCCTGTTTATAAGGTAACGAGTAGTAGCAACTCAGAGAAAAAAAGAGAATTACAGAAAAAATGATATAGAAATAAATTTAAAAGCAAAGAAGCAAGGGATTCTCAATGAGAAAAACAATTAGCAAGTTGAGCAATGTTAACCATGAGAATCATGCAGTATCCTTCAGTGCCTTTAAATTGGAAAAAAAGAATTTATGTATTCTGAATGAAGCAAATTTGCAGTTTTATTCATTATCTTTCATTTTTCTTATTCATGCTTACCTTCTGTATGTGTCTGAGTGTTCCTTGGCCTCAAACGGGGGGATGCCATATAAAAACTCATAGCATAAAACACCCAGGCTCCATATATCAACACTAGCATCATGCTCTACACTTTGCACTGCACCATTAACAGAATACAAGAACAGTTTTTTTGGGATGGACTCAGATAAAGTTATTGCTAGGGATGAGCTCTTTCAAGACTAATTAAAAATCATTTCCTCACTCAGCCAAACAGTATTTGAAAGCCTTCACTGAAATCAAACCAGAAAATGGAATCTCCATTGGCTTAAATCCAGTGGCTTACATACATACCCATCTCTGGTGGGAGGTAGTCCAATGTACCACACATCGTACGCCTGCGATTAAAAGTGTGCACTGACCAACCAAAGTCTGCAATCTTGAGCTCACCCTGATAACAGAAGTCAATGTTGGCTTTATTTATGAGCACATGAAAGTTAATCAATCATCTGAAACATATTGGAAATTCTATTCAAGGATAATTGTTATTTCACCTGTGCACCAATTAACAGGTTCTCTGGCTTGATGTCTCTGTGTATCACATGCTTGCTGTGACAATAAATCAGTGCCCTGGCTAATGACGCAACATACTGCCACATTTACCACATCCACACCAACATTAATTTCTAATCAGTAATAACATAATCAACATGCTGGACAAAGAAAAATCTAATTTTGAGTAAAAAAAATGCTTGATTGGCAATTAAATGAAAAGAGGAACTTGAAAGAAAAATGAACTGAAGCAACATACTGGCAAAAGGATATTAGTGATAGAACAAGTAAACTGAAGATAAATGAAAGAGATGACACAAAAGTAACTCACAGTAGCAGCACGTCTTTCACTAAAGTATTTACACTTCTGCAATTCTTTGTAGAGTTCACCTTTGGCTGCATATTCTAATATCAAATAAACTCGTTTCTGCCATAATTTCAGTTTGAAAAAACACAAATCAGTCAAGTTTACCAATTACTTTCAAAAATACATTCAAGGATCCTAAGAGCACACCTGATCATAAAAGTAACCGTAAAGGCGCAATATATTGGGATGTCTAAGATGACTCTGAATTTCAACTTCACGACGGAGCTGATGTTCAACCTGTGACTGTTGCAACTGACTCTTAAACAGAACCTTCAAAGCCACAATATGATTGCTCTGATCCAGCAAACATGAAAAAAGATCAATATGATTATACAGCAACCACTTGTAATACAATTCCCAAAAAAAATCCTCTTAATTTCCTCAAAGTTTCTAAGCAAACCCAGAAATTGAAAAACCCAGAACGAGAAATTCATATTAACACAAGAAAACCCAAATAAATTCAAAAAAATAAGCCCAATTCATGATCAAGAAGCACGAATTTCAACAATAAATAAAGGGTTTGATCCCTGAAAATCAAAACTCACCCTTTTTTCTCTGGCTAAGTAAACATGACCGAACTTTCCACGCCCAAGTGGCTTTCCTATATCAAAATCGTTAAGCGTCCATCTTTTCTTCTCCGCCCCTGATACATCTGTTCTCGCCTGTACCAAAGTTTAAGAAAAACCCACAATTAAAAATCCTAATTATATCTTTATATATTTGATCCATAAAAAGAATCAAAGAAACAAACCAAGAAGAGCACCGATCCCTTTACGCGATAAGAAAACAAATACCCTAGATTTTGAAATCAAGGTAAACTCTTTACAAGAAATTACCTTCTCTCCCTTTACGCGATAAGAGAACAAAAACCCTAGATTTTGAAATCAAGGTAAACGCTTTACAAGAAATTACCTTCTGTTGGGGCTGGGCCTCCGCAGCAATCGCCATTAGAAATATATTTTTAGAGAGAGTAGTGTTTTTCAGAGAGATTTTCCGAGAGATATTAACAAAAATGAGGGTTCACATTAAGCACTTTTATTTCCAACGGTCGAATCAGTACGGAGACCAATCCCCTCTCCTTTTCATGTTTTTTTTTTTTTCAAATTATTTTGTCCTTTTGTGAGGTTTATTATTATTATTATTACATAGAGGAGAACTGGCAGATGGCTGGCCACCCTGGGAACTGGAAAAGATGGTCTAATGTTCAGGGTCGATCACGTGATTGAGATTTAAAAAGGAAAAAAAACGTGAGATATAGGACTAAAAAAATATTTGGTTTGATTGACTGCAAAGGGGAAAACGACACTGTTTCGGGGAATCTTTTGAAAAGAGCCATCTCAATAATGTAACTACTGAGGTGAGTTTGAAAGTTTCTAACATGTTATTTTGCGCTTGGATCGATTCCAAGATAATCGCGCAGCAGTCTTTTGACACCTCAACTTTTCTTACATTCTAGTTCGAATGTTTTTTACTATGTACTGAATAACGGGGCCTTTGTTTATTACTACGTAATAAATGTTTTTTACACTCGGGTTGTTTTAATTTTTGCAGTTAAAGTTGAGGTTAGATATAAACCAATTATACATAAAATTTAATTATAAAAGTTAATTTTTCTGTTTTTTTTAGTTTTTTGAATGGACTCCTTACATAAAACTTAACCTTAATTTCTAAAACAAACACACTTTTATTTTAATATATGTGAAATTTAATATCTTGTCTTATGATATATAAAATGATAAACAACCAATTCAATTGTCGTTAAAATGTAATGGGTCTCAAGAGACAATTGTTAGGAAGTGTTGAAATTAAAATATCATTATCCATTTGTAAATTATGTTGGCAAAATTATTACGAGCCTTGCAAGGCTTACTTGCAACTACATTTTGCCCCCACATATTTATAAATTATGGCTTGCATTATTTAACAGCTCAAAATTTAAAAAAAAAAATCTATCCCAAAATATAATAACATATAAACAATAATCAGTCACTAAAAATCAATTGATCACACAATTTCTTCTCTTTTTAAATGAATATAAAATCTCTCAAAATCAAAATTCAATATGCAAAACCTAATATTATAACCAAACCAACATAAAAAAACAACACAATAATCATGCAATCTCTATTAAATTCATCACCACTCACCCTTAACTCTCTTTCTTGATGATACCTTTGAATCTTGAAGAGCACACGATGTAAGTTTTTAAACCGGTCTTTAATTTATATCTATAAATATTTAATTTTAAAAAAAAATTAAATTTTATTAATTCGACACTCGTATTTAAATTGAAACGAAAACACTCAATTGATGTGAGTATTTATATTATATGCTTATTAGAGAGGCTCAATTGTAATTACCTTATTTAATCATTATGATTTTGATTTTAAGATAAAAAATAATGATAAAATTATGTAATTAATTTTTAAGAAGGTTATGAATCTTGATATTGTGGAAGTCAAGGAATTGGATACAATTATAAAAGGTATTGGATAGTTTAGATCTACTAGTGTTTAAGTCTTTTTTTTCTTCTGAAATGTCAATGTCTTTTGCTATATTTTTCTTAAATGGTCATGTTTTTTGTGAGTAATTTGGCTAACGTATGATGGGCTTGGTAGTAAAAGTTTTAGGATTGTTGTTGTATTAGTGTTTCCATGTATAGAGTGACTTCTTTCCCATAAATTATCTTAAATCTCCTTTTATTAAGATTTAGTGTGTTTTTTCAATTATATTTGATAAATTTCATCTACCACGTCATTTATAAATTAAATCAATAAACCCTACATATATATATATATATATATATATATCCTCAAGTGAAAAGATATTATTTTTATCTTTTATATATTGTATTTATTGATCCATTATATAGATGTTGGGATAAATATAATTAACTTAATAATTTCTCCTAAAAATATATATAACTTCAACATTAAAAAAAAAAACTAATAGTGCTCATGAAAACAGTATGCATTTTAATAATTTCCTCTTTTTTTTGGGTCCTTAAAGGATTTTCTAATGTGGTCATAATTTTTTTTCAATTATGTTCTTAAATAGTGCATTTACCAGAGTTTAGTTAGATAATTTTTCTAGGTAGCTTCCTATGGGTTCTCACAACCTCAAAAAAACATTTTGATGTTATATTGATATTCAATTTGGCAAAATAAAATTCAAATTTATTATTAAAAAATTAGAACTTCGAGGGGTAGAATTAGCAATGAAACAAAAATACATGATGTTTTTATTTTACTTTACATGAAGCTTGTATTTAAATAAATTAGTCCTCAAAGACTTTTTTTTTCATTTCTGTTCGTAAAGTTTGGGGATTTTATTTTTTGTTCTAAAACTTCAATTTTGTTCAAGCTTCAGTCCCTAAGTTTGAAAAAAGAAAGAAAATATCATTGAAAAACAATGAAGGAGAGAGAAAATAGTTGCTTGGTCTTAATCCTATAACAGAAAAAATCAATTTTAGTATTAATAGATTTTATTTGATGAGGGGAGATTAAGGTGTTTTTTAACATTTTTCTCGCTAGAAAAGATAGATTGAGACTCAGAGTTATTGTTGTTTTTAATTAGGGTATTTTTTAGATTTTTTTGAATGATTAAAGATTAGTTTTAGATTATATATATTTTTGTTGATATTTGTGAGGTATTGTTTAGGTGTTATCAAGGGAAATTGTAAACTCTAGTGTAAGTATAAGATTAAAAGTAGTAAGACCTTGATGAGATGGAGACTGAGATAAAAAAAATACAGATAAAGAATGATAATAACAATAATTATGATTTATAATGGAGGGGATGATCTTCATAAAATGAATCTTAGTTTAAACTTGGCAATGATGACAAAATTGATAACGCATTTCAATTGATAAAATAATAAGAAAAATAATAAAATATTTATAAAAATAAGTGAGGTAATAAAGAATAAATTATAAGAAATGATAGTGCAATGAAAAGGTAGGATTGAAGGTGTAAGCAACGACTAAAAATTTGTGACGTTGCCTTGAAACAATAATAAGCTTGATAAATAAAAAAATAAAGATGAAAAATTTTAAATAAATTTATTTCATAATAATAAAATGACCCTAAGGGTTTAAAGAGATAATTAATTAGTACTTAAAAGTGTATTTTTATCAAAGTTTTATATCATTATTTTACACTTGAAGTATCAATAATTTCTTTACCCGTCTCTCTATCTCTCCTTTCTCATACTAGGGATTGAAAATTAAAAAATGTAAAGTTTTGGAACAAAATCTAAAATTCAAAAACAAAAAGGACTGAACATTTGGAAAGTATGAAGACTAAAACAAACTTTACTCATGAATTCTGAAATTATCACACATTTTCCTCACTGTTTTCACTTTAGACCTAACTTTTAATCCTCCCTTTATTAAAAAAGACTTCAAACAATTCACCATCAATTGGCCACAAAAGAACTCAATCAAAGAGAAAGAAAAAATCAATAACTGAAAACCAAAAAATATAGACTATTAAAGTTCATAATGAATCAAGGCAATGCATGTGCATCGTGCAAAATCCTATTGCCTTTTAGTTTTTTATCTTTTCATTTAATAATTCTACTCCATCCACTTGCTAAAAATAACTCCTAATATTATTAATATTATTAAATGGATGTCATCTATTCCAAAAACATACATGTATATAATGCATCTATGAGGAGGGCATGTGAGGGATGGATTTAAGTTAACCTAAAATGATCTAGTTTAGCAACATCTTCGGTAGGTCTCTCCAGACAACTTTAAAGAGGAATGGATCATTTGATTTTATAAATGCATCAGTTTTCATTTCCTGAGTAATTTTTTTTATTTCTAAAATAATCATTGCTTTTAAAACTAGTCTATTTTTTTTTCTTGTTATCATATTTAAAAAAATATAGGTGAAATAATATGGCATGAAAAAAAAATTGACAAAATAATATAGTTTGTCCATGTTATGATTGAGAAACATGATATTTATCGTTTGTTGTTATTTAGAATAATAACATTTACAAAAAAGAAATTATGAAATAGGCAGGAGAGATAAGAGATAACCAAAGAAATAAAAAAATCTTGGAGGCACATCAAAACCCCAATTACAATCCTATTGATATCATAAAAAAAAAAAATCTCATCACAACAAACCTAACGACATCAAATATGGTTACTAACGATGAACTGAGTAGGTCATATTTATTGCCAAAGAAAAGTGATCAACCTGTCACCTTTCGATGACAAGTGTGACTTCCTTAGGTTATTATTGGTGATGTTTTTTGATGTCGTTAGATTCATCTTATCAAGATATTTTTTATGGTATCAATAATGTTATAATCGAAGCTTTGGTGTGCCATTAAGGTCCTTTTCTTTTTCTTTCTTTCTCCCTCCTCTCTCCTGTATTATTATTTTGTAAATTTTTTCATTCTAAATAGCAATAATTTATGAATATCATATTTCTCAATCGCAACATGTACAAATTATGTCATTTCGCTAATTCTTTTGTATGTTGCACTATTCATCAATATTTTTAATTTACTATTCTAATTTTAAAAAAAATTCTCAAAACAAATCGAGCTAAGAGTTGATATTTATTAAATGTTCAATCATATGGTTGAGTATATTCAAGACTAACCTATTTGGAAAAATATAAAATATTTATAGAGTCAAAATCATAAATGTTATGAATGGCCCACTCATGTTATGGTTTCACATCTTTTTTTTTTTTTATCAATAGCAAGTGATATATCAAATTTCTCTCTAGTGTTATTACTAGTCATGGACCCTTCCTACAATATGAGCCTAATTTCCTCTAGAAAATAATGCTCATATGTCACAAATGTGTTTTAAATTAGGAAAACAAATCTATAACATGGGTCATAAATCTGATTGGATTAATAAATTGGTTTTATTTTAATTAAACAATAAAAAAAAGGCAACAATAGCAAATAAACAAAAAAAAAATGATCATAATAACCTAGGAATTTTTTTTTTCAAAAGGGAGTAAATGATGTAGCTCAATTCTCAGCCCATTAAATACAAAATGATGAAATTATTAAATTTTTTTTTGTTGAAGTCAATCCAATAT